CAGGTCCAAGGGGGAGAGGTGACCAGCACGCTTTCCTTTTATATCCAAAAACATTTATTCTGATTCAGGAGCATCTGCCTTTCTTGACAGTGTCATGATATATAATTTAAAAATGAATGAAATAAAAATCGATGTAACAGTTTGCAGAATCATCAGTGTGTCTGAGAGTATATCTTAGCTGGCAGTGCCTTGCTGATAGATAACAGGAATTAGCATGTAACACAGAATCTCACATTACCACTTATTTATTTAAAAATATATAATTTCATGTGTCTAAACACATCTCAGCTTAGTGATGGACTCCAGAAGTGCCAAGCTGTACTGTCCGTTCTAAATCTTAAGGAGACTTATTATCAAGGAAGCATAAGCAGCTCCATTTTCTAATAGGGATAATAATAGAATTTTTCATTTTATCTCCAAGAAATGGAAATCACTAAATGTATTCTCTCAAACACAATAGACATATGCTAAATAGGGACAAAGGCAAAAAAAAAGTATTCAGTATTTGTGCTGTTTTCTGTTTAAATAATTCACCAATCTTTAAGGGTTTTTGTGCTATAAATTAATATCCTCTCCTAAGGACCCCTCAACTGATTCTTTGCTAAAAGAGAATGATACAGAAAAGTCACAAGCAATGGCAAAAGTGAAGTATTGTAGAGAATTCTACTTACAATGATTTGATATGCCTTTAGCATAATAATATGTCTTTTGTTAATGTTTGCTTATAAACTTAGAAAGTCATTTAGACTTCTGAATGAGATCAAAATGCGTAGATTGAGAAAACATTTCAGCTTTTTTTGCAGATGATTATATTTTTCTTATGAAAGCTATTCAGTGTTATAGCATAGAATGTTTTAAAAGTCATTCTTTTAAAATGATGTAAATACATTAGGCTGTGGAAATATCAGCCAAGGTTGGGAAATCTCAGGACTTCATGGAGATTAAAAGCCCATGTTTTAATTCAGAATTACCCAGGTATGCATAGAACTCCAAAAAGTATACCTGTGGGGCATTCATGTGTTCATTGTTTGTGCCCTGGGCAGTGTGCTGGTCTCTCATGTGGCATAGATGGTTAATACATGACTCTCTTATTTTTAAAAGCACAAGTAGGGCATTGTGAATTAAAAATAGAATTTTATGGGGTGAGGTGAAATCTCAGTGTTGTTCTCATCTGCATCTCTTGAATAACCAGTGACGTGGAACATTTTTTCATATATTTACTTGCTGCTCTTATTTCTTTGTCTGAGCAATGTCTGTTCATTTCAGATGCCCATTTTTGAATTGGGTCTTTATATTTAGGGGGGTTGGTTGTTTTGAGTTCTTTATATATTCTAGATAATAGTCCTTTGTCTTAGGAGCAGCTGTTAAAAAGTTTTTCCCATATTGTAGGTTGTCTCTTAGTTCTGCTGATGGTTTCTTTTGCAGTGCAGAAGCTTTTTAATAAGATGAGATCCCACTTGTTGATTCTTTCTGCTAATTCCTGTGCTACTGAGGATTTATTCATAAAGTCTTTTCCTATGCCAATGTCTTCCAGAGTTCTGCCTAACTTATCTTCCAGCAAGTTTAGTGTTGCTGTTTTAATATTTAGATCTTTAATCCACTTGGATTTTAATTTGGTGCAAAGAATGGCTGCTATCAAGAAATCACACAAGAACAAATGTTGGTGGGGTTGTGGGGAAAAAGGAACCCTTCTCCATTGTTGGTGGAAGTGCAGACTGGTGCAACCACTATGGAAGTCAATATGGAGATAGCTCAAAGAACTAGGATTAGACCCAGCCATCCCTCTGTTGGGTATCTTTCCAAAAGAATTTAAAGAATCATACCACAGTGATATATGCACACCCATGTTTATAGTGGCACAGTGTGTAAAAGCTAAAACTTGGAAACAGCCTACCTGTCCATCAGTTGGAAACTAGATAAAGAAAATGTGTTTTTTCTATAAAATGGAATACTACTCAGCCATAAAGAATGAGAAAGTAGAGTCATTCATAGGTAAATGGGTACATTTTGAGGATATACTTCTAAGTGAAATAAATAAGTCACATGTGTAAATACCAAATAGTTTCTCTGGTGTGAAAAACTAAAATAGTATTCAAGATCCTAACAGGTTAATTAGCAATGTGAAACAGGAAGAAAAGGACTAAAGGTGTAGGGACAGTGAGAAGAATAGGGGAAGGGGAATAAGGGAAAGGGAAAAAAATATGAGAAAACGTAAAAATGGAATTAAAGTCTTAGTAGGTGGGGAGGGGAAGACGGTGTGAAGGGAGGGTGGGGACAAGGGGACAAATGAGAACCAAGACCTGTCATGTAAAGGTACAAGTTCCCAGTAATGAATGTAACTGTACTGTCTACCTAGAATGTACCAATAAATACAATCAAAAAATAGAATTTTAATTATCTTTCTCAGATGAATATTTGGTACTTAGTCATTCAAATGAAGGCGAGAACAATTACATTGTACCCATAGGCCTCTCATGGATATGTAAATGTTTTATTCCTAGTATATTACGCTTGTAGTTTACAAATTTCATCTGAGTTGTGTGTTTATGTCCTATAATGTTCTGATTAGATCACATCTCTGTTAAAAGTACCATTTGTAGTTACCCACTTGCAAAGCGGAAGAGTCTTGCAAACATAGCCTAGAAACAGAGTGGAGAAATAGAGCTCAGACGCCAACACCATGGCTCCCTTTTGACTACCACATGCCGATCCATAATTCTGGGGTTAAAGGGGTCCCATGATGTGTTGGCTGTGGTACTGTTTAGATAACAAGTTAAAGAAATCTCTGTTTGAACATTAAAAATAGGGAATCCTAAAACTAAAAAGGAAAGTAAAAGAGAAAAGGCAATGATGTAACATTAAAGTAGTCCTTAATTCTGGAGATGAAAATGGTCCCTGAACATATTTAAATCGCTTCTCGCTCTTATAGTCTTATCTTATTCTTTTTTTCATTATTTAGAGAATACTGTATTAGTTTCTGTAATCAAACCTACGTAGATATGACCTTACATATTCAATACAGTGTGTTACCCCTGTACACATGGAAACAAAATAAAAAATAAAAATAAAAATAAATTAACATTTCTAGACCGATATGATTGTCCATTTCTGTACAATGCCAGCTCAACACAGTAAATTGGGATGACTTTTTTCAAAGTTGGCAGCACTGTTAAAGTTTCCCAAAATTCAATTAATATATATATGTATATATATATATTTATATTTATATAAAAAGACTAATAATAGTATGTTATGCATCGATAGCAGCAACAGCTTTTCCAGCTTCGGCAGTCATCTGAACAAAATTATAGACATTCAGCACATTCCATTAAAAAAAAAAAGAAATGAATAATATCCAGAAAACAGCAAAGTTCTGTTGCTGTTGTGGTACCTGGCACCATTTTTTCTATTAGCCTCTTAATCCTTATCTGGAAAGAGAACATTCTAGAGTAATATCATTAAATGTAGCTCTGATAAAGCACGGTCCCTACTATGTATCATAAAGCAGGTACTAGATATTTTACATTCATAGAGGTATGATACAGTACCATCCTACATCAATAATACTAGATTCAGTTTTGGTTTGAAATTTACTTTGTCTGCAAATAAGATTGCCACCCCTGTTTTTTTCTGGGCTCCTGTCACATGGAGAATTGTTTTCTAACTTTTCACTTTCAGTCTATGGGCTTCTTTTTGCACTAGGTGTGTTTCTTGTATACAACATATTGTTGGATTTTGCTTCTTATTCCATTTTGCCAGTCTATTTCTCTTGATTGGCGAGTTGAGGCCATTGACATTGCTGGTTATAACTGATATGTACTGACTTATGGGAGGGGGTGAAGGGAGGGCAGGGACAAGGGGAAAAAAATTAGAATCAAGACCTATTATGTAAACGTACAGAATCCCAATGATGAATGTAATTGTATTGTATACCTAGATTGTACCAATAAACTCAATAAAAAGAAAAAAAAATCTAGATAACAAGGAAGCTACCCAAGTCTCTGAAGTGTCACCTCCCCTGGGGAACTCACCTGGGTTAAACTGATTCCAATTCACATCTACAAGCTCTTGAAATTGCTATGACAGTAAATGAACCACTTTGTAACAAGTTATTGTAAATCTGTGTCTTCCGTTAAAGTGTAAATTTCCTGGGGCCATTTTTTTCTTGACTGCTCCAGCAGCACTGTCCTTGTGTGGAGGCCCCAGGGCTTCTCTTTCCTATTCTCCAGACTCCCCGACCTATGAATGCTGCAGGGCAACCAAGGACTCTCCTGAGAGTGGGGTATTCTCCCGAGAGCCAGTGGTGTGGGTGTTTCACCTGGTGTCAGCACAGGGCCCACTCTTTGGAGATAATCTTCTTTACAGTTCCAGCTAAATACTTTCTTCCCTGCTTTACTTCACTTGTAAAATATAGTATTACCTGATATTGTTTTGCTCATGTTTCCATAAGATGTTAATACATTTTCTTACAGTATTTAATTTGTCTTGTTTACCATCTTTATTCCAACTCTGCAACGATGCCCATCACATACTAGATGTAAATTAAACACTTGTTGAATGATCTATGAAGTCTTAGATTTGATGTGCTAGTTAAATTTTTTAGTAAACATAGAAATGATTATTACGTAACTATTTTTAAGGGGCATTTATATCCCATCTAAAATAACCCTGTATATTCTGATTTGTAAATACAAATTATTAATGGTTTAATTCTTAATACTATTCTTCCTGGGAAATACATAATAAACTTCACGTGGTCGTATTTCATATTTTGTGTATTTGTTTCATAATGCCTTCCATGGTGCATGTATGCACACACTAAGTGCTTAATAGCAATAGGTTTAATATACATGGATAGCATATGTTTATTCTCTATATACATAGTATATGTTTATGGTGTGTAGTTTTTTATGTCTATATGTCTATTAATGCTAAGGCGTTTGTCTACCCTTCACGCATGTTACAGCACAAAGTCACTGTGTTTCTCCTCACGTTCACAGGATTATACCTTGACCATGTACTTCCAACAAGCCTGGAGAGATAAGAGGCTGTCCTATAATGTAATACCTTTAAACTTGACTTTGGACAACAGAGTGGCCGACCAGCTCTGGGTGCCTGATACCTACTTCCTGAATGATAAGAAGTCATTTGTGCATGGAGTGACTGTCAAAAACCGCATGATCCGCCTGCATCCAGATGGCACCGTCCTTTATGGCCTCAGGTCTGTAGTGCTCATTTTAAAATTTAACTTTTTCTGAACAAAACAGTTTCTGCTTTTTATTGGAAGGGAATATATTGTGCTTTCCCTCATTCCTCCTGCAATTTTGCTGATAAAGCGTTAAGCCTCCTATCCTGCACTTATCCTAGAGCTTAGGGTAGCATGTTTACAAAGGGACTTAACATCAGCTAATACTCTTTGTTCTGCGAATTATCTTCCAGTATCCGCAGCTGACCCTAAAAGCTGTTTTCTTCAAGGAATATAGGTAAACGGTCTGAAAATAGGTGAGAAATGGGGTTTGTTTAAAATGGGGAAAAAAAATCACACATGCCACATGATTGTTTGAACACGGCCAGTGCTGTTGACAAATTGCTCCTGAGCTGGCTGAAGTGGGTCATAGTTCTCACTGAGAAATGGGGTTTGTTTAAAATGGGGAAAAAAATCACACATGCCACATGATTCTTTGAACACGGCCAGTGCTGTTGACAAATTGCTCCTGAGCTGGCTGAAGTGGGTCATAGTTCTCTGGCAACAGGAAAGCTTATTGTGCCCTGCCACCCTCCAGTGTGCAATCTGACTTGCAGATACATAAAGTAGTTACATCATGTTGATCATTACAGAATCTAAATCTTAAATATATGTCCATGTCAGTAAAGAATTATGATGCATTGGTATTTGGGTGATGACAGTTTGTAAAGATAATTTTTTTTCTTATTTTATACTAAAAGCAACAGATCATTTCTGGGGAAAAAATTGAAGAACAGATACATATTTCATTCTGAAAATATTTGAGTATAGAGAATATCTCTGTGTTATAGAAGCAATTTTGACATTCTTAATCACCTCTGATGTATTCTGTTTTATGTAAATTACATATTTTGATTACCTTATGATAACAATGACAATAACAATACTATTATTCATTGACAGACTGTTAGGGACTAGACACTGAACTAAATTCCTTGCATCCATTAGTATTCAACTCCCCGTGTTTCACCAACTACAGTTTCATTTTCTGCACTTTCCGGTATCCAATTATTAAATGGAAATTTATTTATCTAAAATTATTAAATGGAAAATTCTAGAAATAAACTACAGGTTTTAAATTGTGTGCTACCCTGAGTAGCATGGTCAACTCTTAGCTACTTTGTTATCCTGTTTTACCTGGGACAGGAATCATCCCTTTGTTCAGTGTATTCATGCAGTTCACGCTACTCCAGTAAGCACTAGTTCTTTAGTAGCCCTCTTGGGCTTTGGGTAGGCTGATGTAGCAGACAGTGCTTGCATTTATGTAATATAATGCTTAGTTTTTCAGTAATGACCCCAGAGTACAGAGTAGTGATACTCTCAATTCAGATATACTACAGAGAAGTTCCAGTGCTTTTGAAGTGAATAGGTAAATATTTTTGACCTAATAAAAGAAAAAAACATCGTATGTTAAGATTGCTGAGATCTATAGTAAGAATGAACTTTTAACTGTGAAATTGTGAAGGATAAACAAATTAGTGCTAGTTTTATTCTCACATCTCAATCTGCAAAATTTATACCCATGAACAGTACGTGAAAAGTTCTCCATTAACATGGAAAAGGTATCAAATTGGGGGTAGACTGGGCATCTTCCTGAGGTAGAGACATCATAGTACAGTGACAGGTACATACCCGTATTCACAGCAGTACAATTCGTAGTAATGAAAGCTTGGAAGTGGCCTTCAGATCCATCAACAGACAAATCGGTAAAGGAATAATAAAGATGTGCGCTTTGCACACAGTAAACTTTACAGAATGATACATCTGAGTCCTATGTATGAAATTGGGTGGCACCTTGAAGCCACAATGTTAAGTAAAATAAGTGAAACACGCAAAGTTAAATAGTGCATGGTTTCTTTTATGTGAGAAACGCAAATATGAATAAAAGGTTGATAAAAAGAAGCGGGGAGATGGATCTTTTGAAAAAGGGAAGGAGACCAAGAAATAGAGCATGAGGGTGGGAGGATGGGAAGAGGACATAAAAAGAATAAAGATGTGTAATGTACATGCACCACCTCCCCACAGTGAGTGCACCCTTATGTGCTGCAAACATGAACTGTTACAAATGGTGGGTAGGAGACAGGAATGGAAATCATGTTCTGATCGACTGCATAATGTTGTGTGAATAAGCACTCAGCCTATTGAAGATATTGGCAAGGTCATGCTTGTGATGTATAACACCGAGCCATTTGCTTCAACAAAGGGATGGTTACACAGATTTAGCAATAAGCTTGGACTGAGCAAGTAAAAAGAAACTATTAGCGAAGCGGTGCCTGCTAATGAAGAAGCTGCTGCCATCTTTCTGGCACAGTTGAAGAAGTTGGTTAAGGAGAATGGATAGCCTCTGACACAAGTCTGCAACTGCAGTGAATCTGAGCTCTTCGGGAAGAAGATGTCCAGTAGAACCCACGTGCAAAAAGCATAAATGAGGCATCAGGGCATGAAACAGAACCAATTAACCCTGGTTCTGTGTGGCAATATTTCATGGTACAAGATAAAGTCAGGTGTCATGTCCAGAATGAAGAATGAATTTACTGTCCAAAAGAAAAGTAAACTATGGTTGTCCGGAGGCATAATCAGAAAGCACAAACACTAATGTTGAGTAGAATAGTTCCATGAATGTTTCTTCTCTGAATTAAGAATGTGCATACTTGGAAGAAGTGTTGAAATGTGAAGACCTATAACAGCAGTCAGTATAATATGCAGTATAATAATAACAGTGTGCCTGGGTATTCTGAATCTATTTAGTATAAAAATAAAAATGCCCAATGTGTATTTTCACCTCAAAATAGAAGTCCGTTGCTTTAGTCCCTTGGCTGGAACATTTCTCCATTTGTCAAGGCCATATGCTCTCACCTGACGTTTAACTGCATTTAATCAGTACCAGATGCAAACCTTAATCTGAACATAATGTGGTAATGGAAATAGTTCATTATTCCTGATAAAATAATTTTAATCAAAGCTACAACTGATGAATTAAAAACAGACACTATAAAGGCCTTCTGGAATAATTGAGGGGATGAAATCCTGAATTATTTTAAAGGCTTCCCAGGGACTGATGGAGATGTTAGGAAAATCATTCACAGGGCAAAGCAAATTAGCTGAGAAATGGTTTCCAACATGCTTGGTGAAGACACGGAATGACATTTTGCCGGCCATCAAGAAACATTAGCAACTAAGGATCTGGAAGAACTTGTAGGGTTGTCTGCAGAGGAAAAGGAAGACAGAGACATCACCTTTTTATATGATGAGTTTCCCCAAGTTTTGGCAAACAAAAAATCTTCAGCTATCCAGGATCACAAACCACTGACGTTTCCACCTGACTTGTATTCATTGACATTCATGGCCTGATGACTGATGCAGAAAAACCCAAGGCAGATGGCCATTTGGTCTGTCAGAAGGTCAATATTAGAATAGTGTGATGTCACAATGCCTGTGTCACTCACCTCATCTTATATGTAGGCTTTCTGTCAATTTACGTCATCTTCACAAGGGTGTACGCAGTATAATACTTTGAAAAAGACCACATCTCCTTAATCATAGTATGTGGTTACAATTTTTCTATTATTGTTTTTAATAATCTCTTACTATGCCAGAATTTATTCATAAAACTTTACCGCAGCTATGTATAAGAAGAAAAAAATACAGTCTTTGCAATATTTGGCACTATTTGCAATATTCAGGAAGAGATGGAACTCTTCATTGTTCTGCATTGTTCTTTAGGCCCTGGAAAGATGGGAATAAAAGACAGTAGGGCCCACCTAAGAGAGCCTAGAAATAAAGAAGGAAGTTTAGATGGAAACAGTTTTCACTAAATCCTAAGATATAAACTTTATTTTTCAGTGTTTCAGTGATAAAATAAAGCATTAATAAGAGCAGGGGAGACTGCCATGGAAGATGCAGCCTTAGGTCTCGTGGTTCACATCAGTTCCAGTTTGCTACAAAATGATTTGCTTTACAGGCTCCTAGCACACACACCGGGGCTCTGGAAAGAACTAGCAGTATGAGTAACACGGATTGAAAGCAATCATCCAGCCTAGATGTGGAAGGCTGGGACAAGAAAAGCTTTAAAGATAAAGTCACTCTGCCCAAGAAACAGGATAGGATGATTTGCAATCCATATCTCTGAATTCAAAGCAGAAGCTAAGGTGATCACCACCTATCCCACCGTCACACTGAGCCACACAAAGGTGGACGGGAAAATAGGAGGGAGAGAGTGTCAGTCACATTATCTGAATAGTCTCCTTGCATGAAGCTTTGTCAGTGAAATCTTCAAGTATTAAAACACAGCAAATAGAGAAAACATGATGGCAATATATTAATGCTTGTTGAATTGTATGGTGAGTGTTTCAGAAGCCTACAAACTCAAGATGTGAGATGTGTATAGCCGTGGCATGATACTTTTAATGTCTCTGATGTGGAGAATCACCTTTACACACATGTACTTGGAGTCTTTGTGTCTGAGGATGAAGGTGTCGCATTGCAGAGGATGTGTGGCATGAGGGGTGGCCTCCAGGACCACGGAAAGCCAGGCTGAGCCACAGTCCAGAGAGGTGAAGCCAATGCCCTTTAGCTCTAATGCCTTCCTAATTCTTTACAAAATTTTCTTTCTCCAAGAGCATACCCACTGCTTCTGATTGTACATGAGTGCTCGGTCTGCTTGTGGTGATTGTTTGCTTTGGGTTAGCAAGAGTCTTGAATGTAACACACTAGCTGCTCAGCAGCAAGCTTGCGTTAAGGAACAGTGACTTTGAAGAGTTTGGAGGAGGTCAGAGATGGAGTTTTAGAAATATGGAAAATCGTTTAGGCCCCACCACTTACAGTCTAAGTTCTGACAGCTATCGTTCTGATTGGATCTCTTTCCTTATGTCCAAAAGCACAGGGCTCCAGCTTACTATCACTTACTGTATTGTTCAACTTGATAAGCATTATTTTTTTTTAATTTTAGTACGAGGAATCGAACTTGGGACCTTGGG